TAATGAAATATATTGAATCTGATGATTTTTGCAAAACAGCCTCCGAGGTTGAGAGTATTTCAACTTGTCTAAAAGGGACCTGATTTTTGTAAATGCTAAATTATACTTGTGCTTTTCTTCCATTCAGTACATCTAGTTTATTTATTTAAGTATCAGAATTAGTATGATTTCTTATTTGTAAAAGTAGCCATTGGATTTAATTTCATGAATTTTGATCTCTGATTCTTTCAAACAAATGCCATAAATGCCATGTGACATTTCAATAAAAGACCAAATAGAAATGCCAGGTTATAAGTTTCAATACAGCATTCATATTTTTATTTTAAATTGCATATTTCAGTTTAGGCATAATAATATATTAAAGTGTGTGTTTATACAGTCAGTAATCAATAGGTTGTTGCTATCACAATGAAAGTTTACTGAACAAATACGCCTATCATAATTTAATATTTATAATTTTATATTCATGATTAAAAGCATTTAACGTTTGATATCTGACACACATGGAGACTGAAGTTTTCAGAATTTCTAGACTTCTAGACAATTTTTCTAGTATGGCATGTCATATTGTTGATTATTCAATCATTATGGGCTTTTCCAAAAGAAAGGAATAACCCAGAATTCAAAGAAGAACCCGTTTTAAGTTGAACCTTGAGGTTATCCAGTGAAGATTCTCATTGAATGTCACTTGCAGATATAGTAAAATCTGCCGAGAATAAACGTTCTTTGTTGGTAGGTGTTCACTACAGAGAGGGTAATTTATGCAGAAGTCAGTAGACTTTGTGCGGAGGAAGGGTGTACAATAGAGACAGGTGTTCACCAGAGAGAGGTGTTCATTAGAGAGAGGTGTTCACTAAGACAGATTTATTATAAATTGCATGTGCACTTTATATGATGCAGTTTAATTTGTGAAATATGGATGTGAAAATATCATAGAGATTTGATTTCTTTGTTTTATTTATTTTTTCTTAAATGTTGCCTGATGTGATTTTTATTATGACCTGGGAACCTTGCTTTGTCTAGCACATTGCAAATAGTTTTATCAGGTCATTGTATTTTGGTACAGGGTTAGAAAAATCAAAATTATACTTTCAAGAATATTGAAGTTATAAATCAAGCAAATAAGAACTAGAAATTGTAACATGTTTATTACATTCGCCAATTTTTATGACTAGTGCTTGACGTCTGTATTTGGTATTTAGCATTTGTAACAAAGGGTTACATTTTTGAAGTTACAAGCAAGGGGTGATATTTTGTCATGCCTTGTTCAGATGTGGTTTTACCTTATCATGACATTAGTTTCAGGAAGCTCTACTTAGTTGCAATTTACTTGTAGCGATCAAAATTAAAATTATCCTTATATAAAAGGATATTCCTACCTTGTATATCCTTAATGATACAATTTATCTTCTAAAATGAGGAATTTAATTTGAATGAGGAAATAAGACTCCTTGAGAGAAGTATTTATCCTTGTGATATAATTAGAATCTAGGGAAATTTTGATCTTCCTTTTGTTCTTTCCTCGTAATCGTTTAATTAAACATTCCGTACCTTTAACTTCCCACAATGCATAGTTTCTATGTAAACGGATTGTCAGAGTCTCGTACATTGTTGATTGAGCTTTCTTTTATTTAAAGAATAAAGATCAACCAATTCAAAGTGGTAATGTAAACTACAAAATGAAGATTGAATCTTATCATTTTATGTCCACAATTTTCTTTATTTTTATGTTATTTCATCTAAAGGTTTGTTTGCCTTAGCAGGAAATCAAGTAATATTAGTGCACTATTGGAATCAATAAACCCAATTGATCTCTACTGATTTTCCAAACTATGAGATGCAAATGCTTTCACTAATCCCCACATTGGACTATTTAGTTGCAAGTGCCCTTTGTGGGAAAATCATGGCGAAAGGTTATAATAGATCAAACTTTTGGAATTCCAGGTTTCTAAATTCCCCAATCCAGGAATATATTGTGCCAAATTAATTTTCTGAGCATTCATTGGTTCTTTAATCATTAGACTTATGTCGTAGATGCGGTTTTAGGTTTGATATTTTTACAGAAGGGGGCCCATATTATAATATTAATCTTTCGATTGGATTGAAGATCATGATCATAGCAGACTTCATGCAATCATCAGCGGAGACTACCCATTACAAAAAATGTTCTAATGGTCATGTTTTCAAATGCAAAATTGAGTGGAAAAGAGTGGAATCAGCAAGGAATAAAGTAAACAGGCATGTAGTCAATACGCCAAATTGTATAAAAACGTAATAAAATCAGACTCTTTATTCAATTTTTTAGAGCAATAGCATTAAACAAGCATATCTTGGAGAAAGTTCCGACATGGTGATTGTTATTCTTATGAATCATTAATGCCATTTACCTCTAATCATTCAACTGTCAATTAACCTGCAGAATATCTCAGAAGCTAAGTTTCCAATGAATGAAATTCTCTGTCATGTTTTTGAATCAAATACTGCGGAATGGAGAGAAACAAATACGAGTAAAAAAGGCATACAAGAAATTTATGAGTCTTATATACATGTATATATACAAAAATGCCAGAAAACATAATGTTTTATTCAAATGTTTAAGAGAAATATTGTAGAATATAATTTGTCAGCAGACAGGTATTTTTTTAGGAAGTTCACATGTTCACATTAATGTAATTGGGTATTAGAGACATTCATTTCCGTTCACTCTGATTATTTTTTGATCTAATGAGCAGGAGTCTATAGAATTTGCAAGACAAGACTCCATAGAGTTTGCAAGACCTATTCATTCCTGTATTACATAAATGTATCCCTTCCTACTGATATATGTGCTTCACTTGGGGATTTTCCCATTCTTCCTTTTACCCATTTTTGCCCATATTATATCCATGATGATAGACATCACATGATAGAGAAGCTAGGGAAGGATAAAAAGGCATCCTATTTTCAAAAGGTCCTTGAAACTCTTAGAGATCCCATATATTTCCATAAAGAAAAACATGAAAGTAAATGTCTAGACAGGTGATATGCATTTACTAAATCTAAGTCAGCCCTTCATATTCTGAATCTTAACTCATTTTCTGTTTCTATAGCAGATTGTGCTCAAAGAAACACTCAGTCCAACACCCAGCTCCAAGAAATGCCTTAATTTGGGTTGTCCTCCTTGTTCTGTTATATAGGGCAGTCACCTGATGGGGTATGTTTTGAGGGGCTATATGTGCATGAATCTAGCAAAGAACTCTCTCTCAAGAAACGAATGAAGTAATTGTGAAATCAAAGAAATTTCCTGATGCTATGCCTGAAACTGTAAGGTGTGTTTGTAATGATTGATAGTGGCAGAATGGGAAAGTCACCTTGAGGAGTCTACCGTGAGGCCATTAACCCCACAGCCTAATAATGCCAATTGCCCAAAACCTTGTAGAATTTCTGTTTGTCAGTGTAGTTCCATGCTTTTTATCAGTCATTGGCCCCATTACGCTGCACGCAGAGTCTAGTTATTATCAAATGCAAAGGGTAGGGCCCCATTTTCCTTACACTGGCACCATTTGGCACCATGAGAGAAAAGGAGAAAAGAGTTCCAAGTTCCAACCATCCATCTAAACCATTGTTTGCTTTAGGTGTCTTGATCTAATTGAAAAAATGACATATCTAGCATGACATGCAAAGCTATGTTGTCATGCAACATTTGTGTCATATTACGTATGTCATATGTGTCATATTACATATGTCATATGTGTCATATTAACTTATCATTTCAACAGCATAGTAATCATCACCTGACAAATTGAGTACTTATGTTGAACAATAGCCGTGTAATCTTACTTATTTCAATTTGCATGCAAAAAGTATTATTTGAGTCCTTTGGATCAACTTATAACCCATTGAGCCCATTGATGTAAAAAGGTTGCATTCATGAGCTTGTCATCAGCTAAAGATTAGTTCAGGTACTTGGCTTGGTAATATGTGGCCACCCAAAAGATAGGAGCTGAGAAACCATAATTATATACTAAACATGTAAAAGGCTGAAATGACACAGTTTTATGTTGTATTTTATTGACAGAATACCTCCTTTTCTGGATACTTGGTTTTTGGTTTCTCTGTTATTTATTGTTTATTTGTTTTTGGAGGAACCAACACTCATCCAGACAACATCTGTATGATCTTTATGGATCCCCCCACTGTTCTGAGGATAATTTGTCTGTTATAAGTTGTATCTCTTTATATTGCTTATCTTCTTGTAGAGATCTTAAAGATGTATATAAACATGTTTAGAGATGACTTTTAGCTCTTATATGGAATATATTTTTACTATTGCTGATCTTCTTGTAAATAGATCTTCTGTATATAAACATGTTTAGAGATGACTTTTAGCTCTTGAATATATTTTACTATTGTTAGGCTTCCTTTGCTTTCCAATTTCTGACATTATTTGTGGTTAGAATGCTTTATATTGCAGGATGTTTTACTTGTTTGATGGTAATCTTGATTGTATCTTGTTTTTGCATTGTATCTACTTCATCTTCTAGCTTTACATATTCTTTGGAATGGTCCCCATGTACTTTTACTCTTGCTTATTGACCAAAGTCTTCTGTTGCATTTAAAATAGACACAATTTGTTTAGATAGAGATTGTAACATCTTACATATTTTAAGTATAACTGAAAACAAATATTTTCATATTTGTGGAAAAGTGTAAAAAATAACAGCCGAGTATTGCTCAAATCTAAGGGGTTATTTATTATAAGTGAGATTCTTTCCCATAGTTCAAAAACCATCTGCTCACGATCATTCTGTTAATTTCTCTTGAAAATTTGATTGAAGTATTTGTTTTCCTGGCATTTCTAGACAATTTAAAGTCTTGACTATATGTCCACAAGGTTTATTCCTTGCTTTTTCCACTCTTTTTGGCTATTTTATGCAGTTGAAAACATGACTGTTGTCAGAATTTTTGGGAGCTTCATGAGAGGTGTAGGTAACCCAGAGAGCATTGAGAGATGGCCAGCTGTTATAATTAGACTGTGTTTGGCAACATTAGCAGCTCTCACTCTACCTTCATGTTGGTCTACACCATAGGCTGCCTCATCAAACCAGCCAATATCATTGATAGCCTGACGTGAATCCTGTAAGGAAGACTAGCGAAACTTATATTTTCTGCTGAAGGGTATTTCTCAAGCAGCCACAGCAAGATCTGGAAGGAAGATGGTATAGACAGAAAAGAGAGAGGATATATTGCAGAAAACGAACTTCAGATCAACGTTAAAATTGAGGAAGCATAAAATCACAAATCACAGAATTTCATTGATCATTCACAGAATCCAATCTATTGAGTAATCCAGTAATCGTAATCTTCCTTACATATAGGTTAATATTGGATATCAAAGCATAGCAAAGGCTCAGATTTGTGTGTGTGTATATCACTGCTCATTGAGAAGGGACTGGAGGAAACAGAGTATATTTCCTCATAGATATTTGGCTTTATAATCAAAAGGATAAATAAATTATAGATCATATCTTCAAGAGGACTCACTGATTCAGGTAATCTGACTCTTTTTATACTCTACCAAATCATTTTTGATTATATTCTGTCTATGGTTTTACTTGATTAAGGAGAGTCAAAGAAGGGGAATTACTCTGGGATTTTCCCTGATGTCAAAAAGTTATTTTTACAAAAAATTCAAATCTGAAATCATTTGTTTAAATTGCTTCTTTTAGATCGTGTAACACTTACAATTTTTAATGAAATATATCTTTGAAGAAATTATTAGTGCCACAATAAATATTTAATAACGTAAAATGTATTATTTTTAAATTTTATAATTTTTTTTGAATTAATTTAAGAGGCTGTTAAGTATCAATGTTTATTATATTTTCACAAGTAACGTTAATATTAAGTGAGATAACAAAAGGTCAAACTGTTTTAATTACTACATTATAGATAAATATATGATTAGCTATTACTCTTTGTATTCCTATAACACATTTAAATAATTAATGGCTGAGTTGTGATATAATCAATTGTAATAATACTTGGAATCCCTTACAGATAATGATCAATCAAGGAAATTTGTTAAAAGAGAGTAATTAGCAAGGAATAAATAATAAAAGCATATTGTTTAAGTGTTGAATTGTATATAAAGCAACAAAGTATTCTAAATGATTTATTTTATAGAATGAAAATATAATTGAAAATAGCAAATATATTTCAGTATGGGGTGATATCAAAAGTGAACATAATGAAATCTATGCTACAAGTGCATTTCATGTTATTTTACAATAATGCTGTAAACTCCAAGTGCATTTCGTGTTATCTAATGCTATAAACTCCAAGTGTATGTTATCATCTGCCTTATAGAAATCAAATCTAAACATAAGTATGGTTATAATTTGAATAAAATATTTAGCACTAGTCCATATGATCCGATTTGTCATGGTTGGCTATTACTCTAGGAGCTAGCAAACATTTATAAGACATCTCGAGTACAAAAGGTTTGAGGCCTGTAATTAGTAGATGGGTTTCTAACATCCCCAAAAAGGCAACTCTTAAGTGACAAATTTGGGGCTACCACCAGGGGGCGCTTTTTGAAATGCCCCTAAAATTAGTTTTAAATGACATCTCGAGTACATCAATGAAACCTTTGTCAAAATGTTCCTTTGGACCCTCTGAAACATTATGAGTCCTTAAGAGTAGCCAATTTTGGGGTTTAACCCATTTCTGAGTGAGTTAAAGGTCACCATGGATACAGCCACACACAATCAAAATGCTGTATCAGAGCCATGTGAAGTTGAATAAATTTGATATTCTGATATATCCATAAAATATGTAACAAGACCTTTCTAACAAGTCATAATACATCAATATATGACAACTGAATCCAGAGATATTGAACTTTTTGCATCAATTTTGATCTGAAAATGAACATTTTCAAGTCTCGTCTAATTTGCATTCATAGCTTCAGGCAAAAGGTGACAACTTAAACAGCTCAAAATAGTATTCCAAGAACATTTCCAAGGTTTGTGTAATATTGTAATACAACTATATAATGCTGAATCACTATTTTGTAATTTAAATATGACGTTATAGTGCCCTACCCCTTCAAAATAGAGGAAAGCAGGCACAGTCAATGTAATCATTTTGCAGCATTAAGTTGGAAACATGTAGCACTAGAAAGTGAATCAATGCATCCAAAGCATCTTCATATGTTGCTTTACATTGTAATTTATGTCTTACTAGAATATTGGATTCTCCACATTTTATATGTAAGTTGTTGATATAGTGCCTCTCTTAAAATGAAATCAGTGAAATATTATGTAATCATGCAGTCTAAATATTATAATTATAACAATGTTTATAAGAAATCCTCACTCTCTGATGTGTCTATGTTTCTCACTCTCTGATAAGTCCATGTCCCACACGTGTCTAAAAATAACAAGCGATATTCAAAGGAAGTCATGTGACATCCGTTAAATATCAAATGATATTCACTAGTCACGACTTTGTTCCATGTAATTTCAAGTTAATGTAGTTGTGGGAGTACATTGTTATGGTTAATCAGACATCAATAGTTTGTTGTTCCATTAATGTAAGTGAGGAATATATTAGTGAATAATAAAACAAATATTTAATTCTATTTTCAGTGAATACCTGTGACACTTTTACAAGATGATATTCCACTAGCCCTTAGGGATTTCTGGAATATTATTTGTGAAAGAGGTACAAATATTCACCTCAATAGAATTAAGTATTTGTATTTTACTATTTCACTGTCAGATTCTCCTTGTACTGGAAATAATAGGTGAAATCAACGGAAGTCCAAGACTAGCATCAAATATCAAATGATATTCACCAGTCACGACTTGGTCCCGTATTATTTCAATTTTGTATAGCCCAGGAGCACATTGTTGTGATTGATTAGACATCAGTTATTATTCAAGGAATGTGAGTGAGGAATATAACAGTGAATAGTAAAACAAATATTTAATTCTATTGAGGTGAATAAATGTGGCACTTTCACAAGATGATATTCCATTAGCCCTTCGGGCTTCGTGGAATATCACTTGTGAAAGATATAAAGGTTATTTAATGGAATCGAAGGTTTTTGATACAGGGTATATCTGAGGGAAATACAATATATCTACCCAAGGGACAGGAGGAACCGAGGGTTGATATAATGTATTCACCTAGGGATATACCCTGTATCAAAAATGGAGCATTTAAAGGGGCAACAAGGCCTGTAGAGAGAAAATTCGAAATTTGTTACTTTTTTGATCTATCAGGTCAACATTTGGCTTAACACCTTCTTTGGCATACCTATTTTCTTGTAAAATGTATGGATAAACTATCAATTTCAGCATTAAGAAGTGTAAATTCAATTAAATGATTCTATAAAGGGAGTCCCACTTATAGATTTTTAAGATCTACTATGTTTCAAGAGGAATATCAGCTGAAATAGATTTCAAATAGTGTTCATCCAGGGGGTTTCTTTGTAGATAATAAAAATATAAGTAAGTCTTGATGAAATATCCAAACTTAAATATATTTTGACACTGGTTCATGATTGTTGAATTGCACTAATTGTTTCACCTTTAAACTGAGATTATGAGGAATAAAAGCAAAGTCCCCTGGCTCAGTATCTACCCCCTGAATTTTTGATGTTGTAGATCAGATGAGCGGGTGATATATATATCATCCGCTCACATCACATATCAATTATATTCCTGCGTGTTATTTACCTATAACACTACTAAGGGTGGAATAAAGACAGGTATTCACCTCAATAGAATAGACTAAATGCGAGTAGAAATTATCTTGACTTACGACATTAAAGATTTAAAATTCAAAAATATCTTTCTTGTGTTGGGCAGATAATATTTTATTTTACTGGACATTTGTATAACTATCAGACACATAAGGGTAATATGAAAAGTGAACCACTAAAACTAATGAATATTCAAGTTTACAAGAACTTTGTAATACCCTGCTATGTTATTTTCCCCAAATTACCCACCTAGTGGCGAAACTGGTAACTACCTTCTCACATCTGAGTAATTAAATATTTGTAAAATATTTGACGGAACGAATTGTTGAAGAGGGCCCCTTAGTTCTCATCATCTTACCATATTGCAGTTCTCATTCCCGGTCCACATTAAGCCACAAAGCATCGGAGAAGAGAAGAACAGAATGCTTTTATTAAGATCGCACAAGCATACTGGAAACGGCCTTCACTATGTTAAGTTCACATTGATTGAAATACAGATCTCAACATTTAAGGTATATGCCTCAAATGACATGGGACACAATTTAAATCTTGTTACTCAGATGAAAAATATTAATAGTTATATAATGTTTATAACATGCCTTTGTCTGGATTGCATGAAACATTAGTATTCTATTATAATACATGTACTATATTGAAAACTTATATATGTTATATAAAATGTGTATGAGTCCTATATTCTAGTAAAAGATAAATTACAATGTCAAACAACATATGAAGATGCTTTGGATGCATTGATTCACTTTCTAGTGCTACATGTTTCCAACTTAATGCTGCAAAATGATTACATTGACTATGCCTGCTTTCCTCTATTTTGAAGGGGTAGGGCACTATAACGTCATATTTAAATTACAAAATAGTGATTCAGCATTATATAGTTGTATTACAATATTACACAAACCTTGGAAATGTTCTTGGAATACTATTTTGAGCTGTTTAAGCTGTCACCTTTTGCCTGAAGCTACGAATGCAAATTAGACGAGACTTAAAAATGTTCATTTTTAGATCAAAATTGACGCAAAAAGTTCAATATCTCTGGATTCAGTTGTCATATATTGATGTATTATGACTTGTTAGAAAGGTCTTCTTACATATTTTATGGATATATCAGAATATCAAATATATTCAAGTTCACAAGGCTCTGATACAGCATTTTGATTGTGTGTGGCTGTATCCATGGTGACCTTTAACTCACTCAGAAATGGGTTAAACCCCAAAATTGGCTACTCTTAAGGACTCATAATGTTTCAGAGGGTCCAAAGGAACATTTTGACAAAGGTTTCATTGATGTACTCGAGATGTCATTTAAAACTGATTTTAGGGGCATTTCAAAAAGTGCCCCCTGGTGGTAGCCCCAAATTTGTCACTTAAGAGTTGCCTTTTTGGGGATGTTAGACCCACATCTACTAATTACAGGCCTCAAACCTTTTGTACTCGAGATGTCTTATAAATGTTTGCTAGCTCCTAGAGTATATGGTTCAAAAAAGATTTAAAGTGAAAAGTGAATTAAGTGCAGTCCATACCTGTGGTACATGTTGTGTGGTTCAAGCATGTTGACATTTTCATCATTACATAGTACTATGTTATCCCATAGAAAAACAGGAGAAAGTTAAGCAACTTACTGTATTAAGTAAAGTAAAATGTGTGTCAGTAGAACCTACAAAAAATGTTCTTTTTGGAGGTGTTCCACTTACAAAGGTTCATTTTATGTTAAGTAAATGAATGAAGGACTTTGCAAAGTGTTCCACTTATGGAGGTGTTCATTTTCAAGGTATATAGGAAACATATCTAGTCTCTTTCAAGCCTACATTGGGTATTTGATCCACTTAATGAGTGGTAGAACCAAGCATTTTGTCTTCTTATAATTATATGCAGCAGGTCTGAATGTATCACATGTATATGATACACATGGCATAATTTTGTTATTATCTTATATATACATATGGTATAATTATGTTATATATCCAATTGTTTATCTGTATGATAATATAACAGGATCAGGATGATAACATCAGTACAGGGATGAAATAAAATTATGTAAGATATGGAGAAATTGAACCTGACTTCAGTCTTATCATGTACATAAAAACTTCCATTCTTTAACATAGCTCAGTTTTCCTGTTTTCTCAGTGTGTTTGGAGGTATTCACCAGACTGTACAGGGTAGATAGTGAAATACTGTCTTTGTTTTAAGTAACCTGAAGCGAACCAGCGAATGTATGATAAGAAAGGGAGTGTAACAGACCCATAGCCAGTTTTTGCCAAGGGGGTTCAGTTTTCAAAAAAAATCAAAGGGAATTTTGAGATTTGACAATTTTGGGATAAAATCAGTTGAAAAGTGCTCAAACTGGTGAAAAACTGCATGATTTTGAAAGAACCCCTTGACTACAGAGCCTGCATAAGTCCATAAAACATGTTATATGAGAACATGACTGATCCCACTACCTGATAGACTCCCACTCATAATATTGATGCAATAACTACAGCAGGAGAGCATCTTTTAATTACTTCAGGTGGTAATATTTCATTAACACCAGCAGGTTAATCAAGGAGTTAATTGTAAACTGAGATGTAACATGGTCAAGATTGAACCAATGTGCACAATGTTTCTACTGACTGTGTTTGTTCAATATACAGGGCTCTTATTATGAGGGGGGGGGGGGGTTCTGCTAACACTATCTTGTGGAAAATATCATTCTGATACTTCTCATTACAACTCTTCGTTTTCAACTAGAGACCTGTCAGGACTGACGAGAAATAAGATAACAGCGTTATGGTGATGGGAAACTTTTATTTATTATCTTTTACAAATTATCAGTCATAGTCAGAGTAGTAAATTGATATTCTCAGGGTACTCTTCAGTTATAATGAGAGGGTAGTAAACTACAGATGAGCTCAGGGTTATCATCAGTCAAAGTCAGACTGAGCTCAAATTATTATTCATAGGGATTTGTATTGTTTTTAATCTTAAGTCTATTGTTGTCATAATATGCATGCCAATATAATACGATAGCGACTTTAATTTTTTTTAATATGAGAGTGGTTGAAAGGTGAGCAAACTATTGATTCATGTTCACGTGATGACAAATCATAATCACACATGATATTGAATACAATAAAACCAATCAAATAGAACATATCTAAAAGTAAAACACCTAAGATGAACACTTTTTACAGTCCTGTAATCCAGAGACTTAATGTTAACTCAGGGGCCGATCTGAAAACTAACAAGGGGGGGGGGCACATTTCAAGTCTGAGAAAACTCTTTATGTACTTGCCCCTGCCCCCCCCCCCCCCCCCCCCCCCCCTAATCCACCAGTGTTAATTGGACTTCTACAAGTGCAACACCTCCTAATTGGAACACTTTAGCGGAACCAAGGATGTTCCACTCTCACAGGTTTCAATGTATTATATACATTTTGTATGTTGGCATCTACCTGTGGTCCTCTACCTACCGAGCAATGAGCTTAGTAAAACACAAGTTGAAAGTGTGTTTTTAATCTTGCGCACAATGTTCACTATGGGGAGGTCTAGTATTTCATTAAGCTTACCTGCAGGATACCTGCTGGATACCTGCTGGATACTTGAGATACCTGCTAGCTCCTAATTAACCTGTTTCATCCAGGTGGAGTTGATCATTGCTATACATAACTGCCCAATTGAAAATTGTCATGATTAAAATGCAAAAATAAAATGATAAAGTGACAAAGACTGGAATCAGCAATGAATAAAGTCTACGTAAATGTAAGGTATACTTAAGGTATACGTAGAAATTCATTTTTGTTTCAGTCAGAGAGAAACTGATTGTCAAAAACCTGTTTTAAGAGTCGTTTTAAGAGTGGATAGATTATGGCTAACTCAGGGAGGGGCTAACATAGATGTTATTACATATAATATTTTGATATTTATTTGTAAATAAACATAATTTGATATTTAATTGTAAGGAAACATGAACATCTGTATTGCATATACCTCCAATCAAACATATAATATATGTATCTTCTATAAACTCAAATGTTACTTTGAATGTCTATTAATCATTTGTTGCAATATAAGAGACACAATACACTACGTCAATATGTCTGTTTTTTAATTTAGGAATAGCAAAGGGCATTCATATATCATCTTAAATGGAATTTAATTTGCTGATCACACACCAAATTTCAGAGAGATTTTCAGAGAATTTTTAGTGATGTTCATATTTTACATTTTTAATAGTTTGTATGTTTCCCCCAAGCAGCTCGGACAGCCTCAATTCTCGTAGAATACGATTCCAAAGTGTTCACAAACGAGGGTGTTGCACTTTCCAGGCTTTTAAGAGCTTTCCTGATCCTTTTCATGGCTATGGAGTTTCTCCTCTGGTTGATCTTCAATTATTTTTTCAACCCTGTCCTTCATAATCGCAGTATCAACTTTTCACCGTTCATTCATTATCCTGGTAATTTTAATCTTTTTGACGTAATCAATGGTCAACTACATCCATATAAGGAAGAGTTCATTATTGATTTTTAAGGGTGATCAGCATTTTCCATAAGTTTTAGAATGATATATGGGAAAGTATGAGTATGATAGCTTTAAAAACAAAAAGGTTAATGGGGAGAACAGACTTATTTAACACCCTGTTTGTATGAATTAACACTTCTGGATACTACATAGTATCAGTATAATGGGCATATATCAAATAATGCTCTTGTGGCCTTATTTTTCACAGCTGAGCACTCTACAAAAGTTTGATTGACAGGAATTAGAAGATAGCATTTAAAAGTCAGAAGTTGTGAAGTCAGCTTCACAGTCAATGCACTGCTACAAAAAATGTGACCAATTAGTAAATGGTGCCTTGTAAAAAAGTACAGTTTTGATATTTCTTGGTGCTTTGTGCCTGACTGTTCAAATTGTATGCATTATCTTGATTAGTTGACTTGAGTGTTGCAACATGGGAATTAAATACCACAAAAACTTCATGGTATCACCTTGGAGACCAGAAAACAATGCTCCAAAATTGAGTAGTTAAGTAGTATGTGTGATGTTGGTAGCAACCCTTAATGGTTTCTATACTCTGAAGAATATTTCAGTATACTTTCAAATATTTCATGTTAGATTTCATTATTCATCCATGGATCTATTATAAGCAAATATAATCCTAACCAAATCTATCCTTGGTTCAGAGGTCAGCTATATACTACATCAAACTCTATAAGGTATTGTGCTAGGCAGATAACTACAAAGGGTAGAATAAAGCAGAATTGGTATTTTGTCAATAGTCACAAGTGATTGTTGTATCTAAAATCTCTTTGTCATTAACTATCTGTCTATTTCTCTCAATTATATTTAAGTGGGCTTGAGAATCTTACATTTTCAGTCTATTTCTCTTATTTGCCCATTTGCCAAACTACATGTATTCATGTTTTAAGTTTACTCCGTTCTATAATGTGCACATTGTGCCAGGTTTCATCCTTTGTTGACATTAGAAAACATGAGACATTTTCTCATTTGTTATTATAACTTGTTTAAAAGGAGACATCTTGAATACAATCAATTTTTCAAGTTCTACATTTTTCTACATTTTATTAAGTTCTTTATTCAGTGGCATAGACAGGAAAGTTCACATTAATTTTATTTATCAATTATGGAGTCGCACAATGTATACACATAAACAGATATTATAAATTACACAAATGAGAAACTGTTTGTATTGTGCAATTTATATCAGTTATACTTAATCAATATAAAGTGTAATAAATCACATTTTTGCATTTTGTTTTTTATTTATAAAATACATGCAGATTACGACAAATTATGACGACCATTTTGTTTCCAAGCATTCAATATATAACAAAATCTATATTTCTCTAGCTAAATGATTTTTATGTCATAAAAAAGTGGTAGCACCCAAGTATAATTATGCATTGAAATGCAATAAAAGTACTATGACATTCATGATTGGTGCTGTTTTCCATTTGTCAATATATCTTGTTATACCCCATACCCGTGGCACCCTAGACCAATCAACACTAATGTGCGCAATATTCAATTTTCCCAATTTATATTTGCAGCAAAATGAACACCCAGCCACAGAAAACAGAGCCTGACCCAGATGCCATCAAAATGTTTGTTGGACAGATTCCCCGATCTATGGATGAGAATGATTTGCGACAAATGTTTGAGGAATATGGTTCCATATATCAGCTGAATGTTCTCAGAGACAAATTATCTGGTCAAAGTAAAGGTAAGAGATGTTTCTTTTCTGCATACATGTGTGATCGTACCACAGCAGGGGTTTCATTAGCAGCAGGCAACAGGTGATTTTCACCAGTTGTTTTCACAAAATTGCCTGTTGCTTTTAGGAACTTTTCAACTTTTCCATGTTCAAATGAATTCTATTAATTTTGCCTATTGTTTTCATTTATTTAGCCTCTTGTGAGAAATTCTAGTGAAACCCCTGACAGTGTATTGTATTTTTGTTTACCACCTATGAAGGTGAACAATACCTCTCAGGTATATATTTGTTTAAATGTGTGTAATCATGACATACCGACCCAGGAACTCCTCTTACATGAATGTAGTTGATAGAGTCCTGTATTTCTCTGATTCTACTCATACATATACAAGTCAAACATTCTGAATTTCTTAATGTAACAATCAAAGTAGTCTAACTTGTCTGAATCGGGGATTGAACCCATGGTAATAGGGAAATCACTGAATTAGGAACAGAATTTAATGCCGGGGAGGTCTCAGATGGGTTAAATGTTTGAACATCAGTGTGTTATTGGCACCTTGTGGAACAGTGGTCATTTAGTTGTCCTTGTTGACAAAGAATATGACAAACACAAACTGCCCAAATTCATTTTCAGATCCGCTTATTTATTAAATATAGAGTGTATCAGGATATTAAAAAGGAAATGGTGAATGTTGGGTCCAAGCTGCTTAGAATGATGAATGTGTTATTAGGCAACATAAATATCATCTATTTCTAAATTGGATCTGTTTGCTTCTCATCGGAAAGACACATATGGAATACTTTTCAGACAAATCCAATGTGAACACCTAGCTCTTCTACAATCGTTATCATAGCAGTTCTACATGGTCGACAAATTATTATGATAAACACACTTTTTCATGAATTTATTTTTTTATATCAAAGATCCCAAGAAAGTGACTTCAAGAGAGTTGTAAACTTATCTGTGTAAATTGAGATCCTTTATTTTTCTTTTGGTGCCTTTTCCCAGGTATGATAACCTACTTTACCTGTATGTGAGTTCACCTGGGGAGATAAGTCTCCTTAGAAATATTTGACCTCTCTATACCCTTAAGGCCCTTTTGCCTAGTCACATTACTCTCAATTACTGATGGTATTATAGTTTCAATGCTGATAATATCTTAATTGTCTCAAATGGATCTTTCATGGCCTTTTATGGGAGGTTGACTTTGAAGTAATTGTTAGTTATTATAGGCAGAATATATGACAAGAATTTTTAGCTACATGTTTTTATTGGATATTCACAGCCATTCTGCATCTGTATGTTATGGTACTATTTTCACCATCATGGTATCATACGGTACAGTAAAAAGTGGTAATATATGGTACCATAGACTCCACCATAAGCTACTGTGATTTCAGAGTGCAGATTGGGGATGTAGGCCAATAAGCTATATCTCATTTAAAGAGTATAGAAATAGTCCAGGTCTATTAAAGGGTTGCCTCTATATGAGAGTTATCAAGCAATCTGAGACCATGCTGGCTTGTAATAAACTAAAGGTGTCTATTTACATCATCATATACTACATCCCTTCATTGTACTATCTGCTGGTAGCCATCCATGCTTTTTTCTTCACACTGGCATCAATTTTCATATCTGATTGCTCCATAAATATAGTATGTTTAATATACATATATACCTGTGGGTTATGTAATGTGAGGTTTTTGATCTAGCGTTTATCCAAGGGAAATATATATCCTCGAGGGCTGTAGGGACATGTAATTTTTCTCCTCATTTAAACAGGCATCTTCCGAATTCCTTTGTGAGGAATTGAGCAACAATCTAGACAGTCAGAAGTGTTAAAATTGATTAAGAAGACGAAAAAGTGGCAATTTGGGAAGACATCACCACAGAATCGATAGCCAGTGTTGTTGTAACATGAACGCAATTAGGAGAAAAAACAATGAATGTCTAATTTATCAATAAGAAACGTGATAATTTGTCACATTTAAGAAATGAAATCCAATAAATGGTTGCAATGAACATGTGCATACAGACAGGTGAATTTCTATTGTCCAGATATTACTTTATTATCTGATTATTATTAAGGTACATGCAGAGCGCAAATACGGGAACATATAGGGGTCATGTTAAGAATTGAAAAGCTAGAGTCGAAATGAGATTTGGGATGTTTTGGTTCAAATTTTATAAAATGCTGGAAATTGTATAAAAGGCATTATTGTTGATTTTGTATCTTTAAAAGTGAGCTTCATGTACCTAATGTTTTAGGCTCTGACATTCAAGGTACAGTAGTCCATCTTCCCCCTTTCAATAGTTTAATTATCACCTTTACAAGAGCTTTATCTGCTGATCAGTGATTACCACTAGCCTCTAGCTAGAAGGTATAATTTTAAACAGGCAGCAGGTAAAACTATCTTTTAGCATGATAGTGAAATGTCCATCCCACTCAAAAAAAAATACAGACAGTACTACCACTTTAATTCAGAATGACTAGAGTAACACTTTAAATGTTACAGCTGCAAATATTTATCTTTTTCTTATCTTCCCAAACATGCAGTCTTATATTATTATGCGATAAACTCTTTGAAGTTTAATTAGTACATATTATATATACAGACATAACTGTTTCAAGTAAACATAAATCATAATTCAGTTCTTGGTACCAAAGATACTTTTTCCTAAAGACATAAAGCACAAAATAGAAAAATCTAGAAGTGGTCAATCATATTTATCTTCAAGATAACATGGTTTGTATAGAATTATATCAAAGTAAAGAAATTGATTTTTTTTATCGGGATAGCAATTTTTTGGGCACAATATGTGTAGATAATAAATAAGATACTTAAACAAATAGGCCCAATATTTGGGAACACCCTGTACACATTCACCCATGTTGAAGAACAATAAATTGGGAGAGGGAGGGGAGCAAAAGACTCGGTGCAAAAACTCAGAACAAAACAGTCTCCCTTATATGAATCATACGTAAGATAATTGCCTCCTCAAGCTTTATGTTCTTTTACTTGTTTTCTAAAATTCCTGCAGGCACTATATCATATGTAGGTTTGAAGGAAGATATGGGTCATACCTTACTAAAATTCCTTCTTGGTCATGGGTATTCTGCACAATTTCTCTCTAAAATGTCACTAAAATGTCTGACTATTTGGTATTTCTAAATTATTAGAGTGTTTTCTGCATTTCATGCTAACTCCACTGTTTGGCATTCTATTTTGGATTTCAAAACGTGACCAGCAAGGCATTTTCTCGTGGGTACGGAACGCACCTGGCCATATGGTGAATTTATGGCATATTTTTACCTTCATGTGACCTTTACAGATACCATCATCTTCAGCTCTCTAGATAAATTTTGCATTTTGTTGGTTTCTTCTCCAGTCGAGAAAAAGATACAGATTATGTTAACCCAATTTCTCGCTATTGGCACACCTTGTGAAATCATGTTGATGACTACCAGTTCAGCATTGATACAATTAATGGTTTAATGGTTTATGTACATAACCTGCTTTTATTCTGGCAGATATAATTCACAATGTAAAATTATCTTGATGAAAAAGTTTGCAGTGGTTCAAGCTTCTGTAGAAAGCGACAATGAAGGAGTTGCAATTATAGGTTCTCATACACCAGGAGTAATAAACACAAATGATCTTGGAGTCATTCTTAAGGACAGAGTTCATTCAATACATGATATAAAGATTGAGGTTCAGAATCATCAAATAGGCAACGACCTCATTTTGTTTTTAAATGGCTAGACACAACTTGGTCGGTATATTCCATTTTTACAGATGCAACTACATGTATTATGTTGCTTGTTATGAAATAGCTCAGAACCATTCACTTTTGTTTGGTCTTTGATACAAGTGTGCACTTGTTACCATATCTGCTTCCAATACTAACTTATTAAGTGGACCACATGGTCACTGCTCATTTTATGGTCCACTCCTTGAATGCTTATGGTCACTGCTCATTCTATGGTCCACTCCTTGTATGTTTATTGATGACATATTGATGTTACTCTGATCTGAAATTCCCATAAACAGTAAAACATATGGTTCATAACTTTGCGTTTGGATCATTTGATTCTTATGGAATTCTATCAAAAGTACCAGATGATATATTGGTACATCTGCTCCATATGGTGAATGCACTTGGCTTAACTTTCAAAAAAAGCAAATGATATACAGGTAAGGTAGAACTGATATATTTGATTTCTTAGAGTAAACACATATGGCTGTACCATCTTATAAGCTTGCACCAAATCTCAATATTACCCCTCCAGAAGCCCTTGAATGGTCTAGGGAAGCTAATGCTGCTGGGGACCAGAATAAGGTTTGAGATGAGCATACTAATACCAAATCATAAATTTTGCCAACATGTCTAAGTTTAGAATTATAGTAAACTGGGATCCAAGAGTTATGTATCAGTTAAAGTTGCAGAACTTTGACATTTTGCCACTTCTCAGTGTTATGATTTACATTGGAAAAACAAGGCAAAGATGTGCAAAGTTGGCAAGAGTCTTCCATGGCAGGATCTGTTACAGTTGTGAATGTCAGTGAAGGTCAGGTCTAACCACAGGCACCTTCTTGCTATATACTTTCTGATAGACAGCATTTGTGACTCCATCTCTCTCCTAGTTTGTATTAAAACATATCTGTGGTAGGGTACGGCTACTCTATTAGTTTTTTTTCTACAATTAAAGTCAATTTAAAGAATTAGTTTTTAAGCCAAATGAAGATGTCATATTTAAATTAAAGCAAATGTTTTTTAAGTCAAATGTTATATCTTTTTCATTTTGGGTTAAGTGAATATTTTTTGTTTTGTTATTACCTTCATCTTAAAATTGTGCATATGTCTCAATATTTATTATTTGTATCATCAAACATTTTTAAGGAAATATCATCCATTTCCTAATGTATTTTTGAACAATTTTTGAATTATACTATTTACCATCATATCAAAGAATCTTCAGATCAATTATAGCATTCTTTTCACATAT